AAAATCTAAATGTACCTTTCTTAAATAGTTATAGATCATTCGGTCAAAATCTAAATGTACCTTTCTTAAATAGTTATAGATCATTCAGTCACAATCTAAATGTACTTTTCTTAAATAGTTATAGATCATTCGGTCAAATCTAAATTTGCAATAGATAAACATTCATTATTTTGATTTGATAGATAGATAGAATAACACACTTTTGTCCTACAGTGGATCAGCGGTCAGCTACATATTACGATCTATCGGCGTTGTATATTCGTAAACTGACCGCTGATTCACCTGAGACGTTTTGTATTTGTCAAAATTCGTTGGTATAGTTACTATAAATTACAAACATATAAATGTACAACAATGATAATAAAGTACACAGTACCTTTAAAACTTTTCAACATTCTTCCATTGACAGCAGGATCTTCCCTCCATTTTTTACGTGTTTATTTTCCGTATATTATATCATGTTTTGTTTGATTCTTTGTTTGTTTGTAGTTAAGCACAAAAATACACAAAGGGCTATCTGCGCTAAAGTTAAAAGTCCGCAGACTTAAATCTCTGCCACCGGGAGGGGGGCGTATTATATCATGTAAGGCTTCTTTGGTAACGAATATTACACAAAGCAATAAGGTTCATGCGTATGTTTCGGAATGCCCCCTGATTTACAACGCTAGAAACTGGGTTTCGATACCCGATAGCCCATTGTGTAGCTTTGTATTTCTAAACTGAAGCTTTCCCAGTTTAAATTAAACCTTCTACATTTATCTATAAATGTTAACACTTTCTTACTCACTAATAAGCATCGTTATTCTCATAAAATCAAGAATCTTCCTTCCCCTATTAATGATCTTATCGGTGTACAAACACCAAAACCATTCTTTCTATTGATGATCGCTATCCTTTAAATCCAAGGGTGTTCCTCCCCAATTAATGTTCATCATCCTTATAACACCAACGACGTTCCTCCCCAATTAATGTCCAATCCTTATAAAACCAACGACGTTCCTCCCCAATTAATGTCCAATCCTTATAAAACCAACCAAGTTCCTCCTCCTATTAATGTTCGTCAACCTTGTAAATCCAAGGGCTTTCCTCCCCTTATTAATGTTCATCATCCTTATAACACCAGAGGTGTTCCTTCTCCTATTATTGTATAACTAAGGACGTTCTTACCGCTATTAATCATTGTCATCCTTGTAAAACCAGGGACTTTCCTCCCTCTATTAATGTTCGTCATCCATGTAAAATCAGGGACGATCCTCTTTCTATTAATTAATGATGGTTATCCTTGTAAAACCAGGAACTTTCCTCCCTCTATTAATGTTCGTCGTCCATGTAAAATCAGGGACGATTCTCTTTCTATTAATTAATAATCGCTATCTTTTAAATCCAAGGGTGTTCCTCCCCAATTAATGTTCATCATCCTTATAACACCAACGACGTTCCTCCCCAATTAATGTCCAATCCTTATAAAACCAACGACGTTCCTCCTCCTATTAATGTTCGTCAACCTTGTAAATCCAAGGGCTTTCCTCCCCTTATTAATGTTCATCATCCTTATAGCACCAGAGGTGTTCCTTCCCCCTATTATTGTATAACTAAGGACGTTCTTACCGCTATTAGTCATTGTCATCCTTGTAAAACCAGGGACTTTCCTCCCTCTATTAATGTTCGTCATCCATGTAAAATCAGGGACGATCCTGTTTCTATTAATTAGTGATGGTTATCCTTGTAAAACCAGAGACTTTCCTCCCTCTATTAATGTTCGTCATCCATGTAAAATCAGAGACGACCCTCTTTCTATTAATTAATTATGGTTATCCTTGTAAAACCAAGGGAATTCCTTCTCCTTTAACGATAGATCTTCTTGTAAAATTAAGAACAGATCAATTATAAGTACTGAAATAGAATGAAGGTTTTGGTTTTCTTTCTTGAACGGTAAAAAACGGTAATTATTCTATTTGTAGTGTGGTTGAAATATGTTGTAAAACATTACAGAACTATCAGTATTATTAACATTTAGCTTCGTCATCATTTTGTTGCAATATAGAAAATTGGGAAGAAATAGAAATTAACTTTCAGAAAGTCTTGGAAAGTTTTACTCTTTTAAAGGAGGATATTTTATTCGGAATCAAAATACCTTTTTTTTTTTTACAATTTGACAAGGAACAAACTTAAGCTCTGTAACAGTTTATTAACTTCCTTACCGTGATGTAAATAAAGCAGTATACAAAGTGTTTTATACAGCTGTCTCTTTTTTTCTTTTTTCTATTGTAGCCTAATGCTTCACGTAAAATATTTTATACAAAACTGCACTTATGAACTTATAAAACATTCTTGATTGTTTCAGTATTCATATGTTTTGCATATAGTTAATTTCGAGAGCACGTAGCTTTACACCATTGTTTCTTCCATGCAGGCGAACATCTCGTACCTTGTCAAATACCCGGATGTCCATCAACAAAATGGAATCACGTTTTCTCAACTAGGTCTAAGATTCATTATCACCCAAAAACACTTGCACGGTGATGGTCTCAAAATTAGATGCACCGCTACCGTTGCCAAGGTGATTGATACAAACGAAAAAGAAGTGTTCATTGGAGGCTTTCAACAAACATCCGGGCTCCATGTTGTAGGAAATTTGGAAGCAGGTATTTTTATCATTCATAGCGATTGTCACCATCCATTCTCGTGTTGTTGTTGTTTGTGTTTATTGACACAGTACGTGTAAATTAGTTCAATATGCTCAATGTGAATTCATGCTAGGCTTCTAAGTCAGAACATAAGCTTATGAGGGTAATTATTTCTTTATTTACCATATGGTCTTGCTTCTGTCCATGACGATTCATCATAGATATGATGCACAAAGAAAATGGTATGCTCTGGAAATGAGTGTCTTTTTTTGAACAACTTATGTTAGTTGCTCCACGAAATTCACCTAAATTTAAGTCACCTTTGGAAATAAAGACCTCGGGTGTTTTGTGGCAAGATTTATTGAATCCTTGTGTCTAAGGAAGGTAAGAATTCTGTGGGAAACAGCTAATGTCTGAAATGTGAGATTTGTTGTGACAAAATAAACCAGAACTTTTGTGTGAATGTGCGTAAACCAGTTATAATATTTCTAAGCAGATGTAGTTGGAAACGTATCTTTACCGAATTTATATGATTATGCATATACAGATATATGTATATACATGCTGTATTTTTGAAATATGTATTTTATCGCTTTAGATCTAGCCAATGGACGAGTGGGTGTTTTTATACCTTCTTGGACCTTGATTCTAGGCCTACCTACGTTTGTGTTGCAAATCCAATCTTCAGCTTGAAAGTGAATATCTGGTAGAAATAACAACCATCTTTTATAGAACGCAACTCGAGATTCTATTGTCAAGATAACCAGCTCAGGAACTTTACGCTTCTCCAAAGTTTTACGAGCCGCAGAACCCGTAAAACCTATATGCGCTCCTTTTAAATTGAAATGATATGGACCTGAAAAAAAAAATATATATATACATATATATATATGGTAAAAAATTGAAACTTTTGGGGTAAGGTCGAATGCAAATGGTGTTCGATACAACAGAGAACTTTTTCTAGGACTTAGCATGTATACTTGTTGAGGATGTTTCATTTGTTGGCTTAAAGCTAAAAATATTACAGGATACGTTGCCACAACCAACTTATGTTTATCCCCTGTTAACTGGTAATAGTCATTCCTACATTAACACAAAGATCGAAAGTGGTTCCTCCGTTAGAATTTATCATAACTTAGCGAGAAAGGTATATTATGCTTCAGGTTTTTTCAAATCGATAGTTCTAACAGTTTCTTTTACACGTGGAATCAGATCCATTTTCTTGACACATTTGGCAATACTTTTTTTATCAATTTCACATGCGGTGCTATCGATCTAGAACGTTTGATTCTTTTCCGAAGGTTTGTTAAAAAAATTTAATTTCCAAAGGAATATAAGTTTTAATTTTTCAGTAAAACGTAGATAAAATT